ACCACAGGAAAATGACAGAGCTTCTGCACCACCTCACACGATGTGGGAAAACAGATGACATGTTGTACGGTGTCATTATGAACTTCAGTTGGCTGTACACCATGATCAAAATTGGGCAGTTTGACAAAGCCCTCTCTGATGTGGAGTTGGCCTATAGCTACTCGCAGGAAAAAGAGCTGAAGTTCCTTGCAACCACGCTCCGTGCGATAAAATACAAAGTGATGAAATACCCAGGCACTCTCTCAGCTGAATTGCAACAGAGGCTTCTCCCAGTTGCCAGCTCCTTGCCGAAACTGAGGCAGCTTCTTCTGGAATGTGACAAAGATGGCCCCAAATATTGCTCCATTGTTCCATTGCATTCCTCTATGGATGTGAGTTACAGCCCCGAGAGATTGCCTTTGTCCTCCAGTTGCACTCAAGTGACAGAAATCCTGCCCACTTTTAATCCAAATACGGTCATTGTGGCTCTAGAAAACGGCTCCATCAGTACCTGGGATGTAGAGACCCGCCAGCTACTGAGGCAAATTACAACAGCTCAGTCAGTCATATTGGGCATGAAGCTTACAAGTGATGAAAAATACCTTGTGGTGGCCACAACAAAGAACACGCTCTTGATTTATGACAACCTAAATTCCTGCCTTCTGTCTGAGGTAGAGATTAAGGGATCAAAACACGGTGGGATTGGTGTAGGTTCTAGTTTTATAAATGGATTTACATTGTCAGTAAACCATGCCCTTTCTTGGCTAGAAGCTAGCAAAGATGTTACCGTGATTGATCTACTTTATGGCTGGCCACTTTATCAGTTCCATTGCTGGTATGAAGTGACTTGTGTCCAGTGTTCCCCAGATGGAATGTATGCTTTCTGCGGACAGTACTTGAATACTGCATCTATATTCCATTTAGGTAGCGGGGACAAGCTAGCCACTGTGACCTCTGAGTTTTCCGGTGGCTTTGTCAAGTTCCTTCTTGTCCTAGATACAGCTCAAGAAATGGTGATGGTGGACAGCGAAGGTGGTCTTTCGATCTGGAACACGGAGGATGTCGCCAACCCCCAACTAACAGATGACTTTGATTGCAAGAGAGGGGACAGTGACTTTGTCAGCTTTGAACTGGCTGAAGATCAAAGTGCAATTTTAATATGTAAGGCCCTCAATATAGAACTTCTTGACACAGCCATGTGGAAAATAGTTGAAAAGTTTAGAGCAAAACATAACGAGCGATTTGTATCCGCTGTACTGTCCAAAAATGGTGACTGTATTGTTGCTTCCATTGAAAATACCTCTGCCATTTTTGTTTGGAGGAGAGACACGGGGCAGTGCATGGCCAGTTTACAAGAAATCTCAGGAAACATAGTCAGATTAATTAAATCCAACCATCATAACATGCTGCTATCCTTATCTACCAGTGGTGTCCTTTCTGTATGGGATATAGATATCATAACTGCTATGTCCAACATTGACAAAACAGGCAAGCCAATCCAAAGATTGGTCTTGTCTGCCCGGGGTGAAGTGATTTATACACTCGATGGGTCTGAAACTATACATAAGTGGAATTTTGGCACGGGGTTCATTGAAGCTGTGTTTAAGCATGAAAGCATTGTTGAAAACTGCGTGCTGACTTCCACTGGTGATCTGATGATTACGTCTGATGATAAATCCAGTCAGTATGTATGGCACACTGGCTCTGGTGAAAATCTGTTCCGTATCAACGGACAAAAGATATGTCAGCTCTTGATAACACACAACGATCAGTTTGTCGTCTCCCTCTGTGAGCAAAATGCATCAAGGGTTTGGAGACTGGCAACAGGCCACAGAGTTTGCAATATTCTTGTAGCCTTACAGAATGCATTTATAACTACCGCTAACACGTTTGTCGTTGGAATGACAAAAAATAAAGTCTTGGCGGTGAGTTTGTGGACAGGGAGTATAACCAAGAAGTTCTGTTGCGATGATGGCATTGCCATCGTCGATATTAAACTGATCCCAGATTGCCCTGATATTGTAGTCTTCATAACATCTACTGAAACTGTAAACATCTGGAGTCTCACTGAAGAAGTAATTTGTAGACGTGTGCAACTGCCCAACACTTTCTTGAAGACTTTGGAAGATTTTGAAATATCACCCAATGGAAAACTGGGCATCATATCCCGCGGCGATGAGAATATCAACGTACTTGATCTTCACAGTGGCAAACTTCGCGTTGTCCACGCTTCCGGTATCATCTGGAGGCAGAAGCTGTCTCGGGACGGCCGCTACCTTGTATACATTTGTTTTCGCACTGGTGAAGAGGATGATGATAATGGTGCAATCTCTATCTTGATTGTAATGAGACTAGCAGATGGCAAAAACATTGGTGCTTGCTCCCTTTACAAAACACCGACTTTCCTCGCTCTTTCCCAGAGGCATTTGAACATCATTGTAGGCTTTGATGATGGAAGCATAGGCACTTATACTGTAGTGGATCGAGTGGATGCAGCACTGAAAATTAAAATTGCTACTTCAAATAGCCGACAGATTTTCAGCAATGCAACACAAGTGATTAGACCAAAGTGTCACAATTATAATTTCAAGGTGACAGCAGACTGCATATGGAGGGAGTCTACAGAGGTGTTTGCAAGAGACAGTCCCATCACAGTGACAGACCCCGAGGCAGGTGAGGCAACTCCAACCAAAAAACACAACTATTGCTATGACAAAGTGTGCTCTGCAATAGATTGCAGAAGCCACGGGTTCACCCCTGACAATTGATCATAAATTAATAAGAAACTAGTTCAGCAAATCTCTGCTTATCCCATTTATATTTTACTACCAACAAATTGGGAAAGAGCAAATTTAAAGCAAGTTTAATTAGTGGCTGCAGAGTTTAGAAAGAAATATTCAAATATAAGGCTTCCTGCAATGCCTTGAGTGAAAATTTCTAGCAATATCATTTATTATGCCAACCTAAAATGTTGGAGGAAGAAAATGTTGTAAAGCTTTCTAACAAGAAATGAAACTACATTTCATATTGGAATGAGGTGGTTCAAAAAATGTTAAATCCAGGTGGGCTTAAGCCTAAATCTCTGGCTACTTCGAATTACTTTCATGTGCAAAAAAAAGAAATAATTTTATCCTTCTGGTGGTGCAAATGACAATGTCACATGTCAGTCCGGATGCATTCTGTAAGCTTTTGAAGTAGTAGCTATTTGTATTGTGGGGGGAAATGGGGGCAAGCACAATTCGATCAGTAAACAGAACTCCAGGGTCTTGCTGATTTCATTTGGGTCAAATGCTTCATAGGAATCGCTCCCACTAAAATCAGTGATTCTTCACTTTGCTTGGATTGCACCCATTGTACAGAAAGAATAGAGAAGCTGAGCATTGTGTCCAGTACTAGTAAAACACACAGTAAACCCATTAAAACTAATGGACATAGGTCCATTAATTTCAGTGGGTCTGCTCTGAGAAACTTTGGTTGGCTACAACCCTGATAACCTACAAATCAAAAATAGGCACACGTGACACAACAAATCAGTCATAATAACAAACTGAAAGTTACAAAATTTCTACGCTTGGACTTCTACTCAAGTTTTTCTATTACAAATCATAGGAACTGCTAGATCATGTAAGAAAGGAACTTAACTCCTGAAATTGTGTTGTTTTCTGTCTCTTTCACACTGTATTTTAGTACTGTGTATAAAATAACATTTTCAACGAAAAGGGCATTAAGGATAAAGAGTCAAACCCAACCCACCCTGTTCCATTATATCTTTTGTTGTCAAAAAAACGGTATCATTAGTTCTGTTGTCCCAAATATTCCACTCCTTGCAGAAGTCTGAACAGGAAGCATTCAGAAATGCTGTGTGTGTCGCTCTTTGATTCTCGTAGTGTTTGCCTTACTATCATTCCTGTTCTTCCCTGTTGTGAAACACAGATCAGATGACCAAATACTCTGGGACTAACATTACGCTTCTGTATGTGCTGGGGGGGGGGCGAGATACTGGCTGCCCCAAAGGGGTCCTTTCCTGTTCGACTTTTCTAATGAATTTCTTACTTCTATATACAGTATTTATGCCTCTTCACTTCCTGCTGTAGGACTGTTCATGGCCTTTTTATAGAACTTTATCAATTTCAAGGCAGAAAGTTGTGGGGTACCCTTCTTTATTTCTGATTGCTTGGCTCACTCAGTTTGAACCCAGAAACGAGCTACGTACATTCTGATGCCCCAATCCACAGCTCTATTAAGGGAAAGGTGGCGCTGTGGGTTAAACCAGAGAGCCTAGGACTTGCCAATCAGAAGGTTGGCGGTTTCAAAGCCACGTGACGGTGTGAGCTCCTGTTGCTCGGTCCCTGCTCCTGCCAACCTAGCAGTTCGAAAGCATGTCAAAGTGCAAGTAGATAAATAGGTACCACTCCAGCGGGAAGGTAAACGGCGTTTCCGTGCGCTGCTCTGGTTTCCAGAAGCGGGCTTAGTCATGCTGGCCACATACCCGGAAGCTGTACGCCGGCTCCCTCGGCCAATAAAGTGAGATGAGCGCCACAAACCCAGAGTCGCCCACGACTGGACCTAATGGTTAGGGGTCCCCTTTACCTTTACCTTTAACTTGGAACGTAGTGGCCAATTTTCCACACTTCTTATGGGAGATGCAAACTACATGAGCTGCCTAAGTCTGAATGGCTTGTGTGTGTGCTTGTGTGCGAGAGTGGGGGCCTCATCCAGCCCTAATTCACAGCTCATATGTATTTTTAAAGTGAGAGAGCTAAATAACGCACACATGAGCCATTCCTGCCAGGTAGGGCATTTTGCAGTAGAATAAGGTAAAGGTAAAGGGGACCCCTGACCATTAGGTTCCAGTCATGGCCGACTCTGGGGGTTGCGGTGCTCATCTCGCTTTATTGGCCGAGGGAGCCAGCATACAGCTTTCGGGTCATGTGGCCAGCAGGACTAAGCGCTTCTGGCGAACCAGAGCAGCGCACGGAAACGCCGTTTACCTTCCCGCCGGAGCGGTACCTATTTATCTACTTGTACTTTGACGTGCTTTCGAACTGCTAGGTTGGCAGGAGCTGGGACCGAGCAACAGGAGCTCACCCCGTCACGGGGATTCGACCCACTGACCTTCTGAATCGGCAAGTCCTAGGCTCTGTGGTTTTAACCCACAGCGCCACCCGCGTTCCCTTGCAGTAGAATATCCATCTCTAAATATCACATAACCCATGGAAGCAGCCCTGGATGCTGACTCCCACCAGGATTTGTGTCACTAATTGACCACAACCACAGATCCATCACAGGCAGACCATTCGTGTCTCCCACTCAACGACAACTCAAACTCAGTATTTTTCAATCCAGATACTTCACACATTCCACCGTGATTCATCAAGTGCTGAATTGTCAAGTGACGCGGGGTCAGACGATGTACATGCAAGTGAGAACCAGCCCAACGATTTTGCTGCAAGCACTTATATGATAAGCATTAACCACCAGCTACACCAGCACAATGTTCAGCAAACTGAAACACAGAGTTAGCATTACAGGGGCATTGAGTTGGTGTAAGCCAGCAGATCAAGGGGGCCAAGAATTTAGGATCAGGGTGTCTGTTGTAGGCAGTTTAATGGAGCTGTGGAATGGTGAAGGTTTGTTTTCCTTACTGCTTATCTTAAATGTGGCATGTCCTTGGCACACGTTTCAAAGGATGTGAATGAAACCGACTTGCTTGTATTCTTAGATGTTGAAAATTGAACTCTGGCACTACTCGAGATAAGGTACCTGTTTCTTTAGGCTGGAGTCTGCCCTAATTTCATATAAAGTGGCGGAAAGTGGCTTGATTTTTTTATTTATAAAAAAAGCAAAAGGTTTCAGGAGTGGAGGTGCTAAACCTTTGCTCCCAACAACTATTTCTCCAGTATCACTTCTTTCCCTTAACTGGGCTCTTAATACCAGTCAAGAAAAAAACATCTTTGGCAAAAGAGGTTAACTATAGGTGCATCCCCGATAATATACCTGTTGGCTTTAAAATTTGGACACGCGCAAGCCACGCTTTCTGCATGTTTGGGACAGACCCGAGTTGAAACAATTGGGTCTGCCACTATCACTTCTGTTTTGAGTCTTAGTGACCAAATTTCCAGGAAACAAGTACCTAAACTAGGGAATAACTACAGTGTGTGACTATTCTATGTAAAAGCCAATCTAGTATATATATATATATATCTCAAGTGACTTGAATGATTTTCCTAACTTGTTTGCAACCAATAGATCATATTGAATGTTTTTATGTAAACTTTGTATCGTTGGGGAAGAACTACCCAATCAGAGATTTATATTTTCATAAATGTTAAATTTAGTTAAATTTTGTTACAGAGTTGTTTAAATTAGAAATCTATTGCTGTCTTCAAACAATATACAGTCTTGTGTACGCATTGTTTGTATGAATAAATATAAACTGCATAATGAAACTAGGGCGCGATTTCTAACTTGTTTATTTCGAAAAAGCAAATTTCCTCCTGGTGTCGTTCCAGATGAGTAGCACCGTGCAAGTGGAATTTCAAAGTTCTCTGCCGGTGTCCCACAGCTTTGCTGACCAGTGGCAACGAGCAATAATCATCACTTAGTCTGGATAAAATCCCATTCCCAAAGCTTTGTAACTTGCTAAAATCATGGTAAGGCGTGAAATCAAATGGAAGGATTTTCAGACAGCTGAGGAGCACAGTTCCCAATGATACTCATTGAGTTCTGTAAGACAGAGAGCTATAAGACAGAGAGCTACAGCTGGTTATATTGTAGATGGAGGAGGTACACTTGCTCCTCTTAAAACCTGGAACACTGGTTCAAGGTTAAGGTGAAGCTAAGCCCCTGCCTCAATGAACTATAAAACTTTTATTCTTCCTGATCTAGCTACATTACTTTTCCGAGATAAATTAATGGCCGCCAGTTCTTCCTATGGAAAGAAAGTACTTCACTTAAGGATTGCAGTGGAAGGATGAATCTGCCCACTGTGTGATACACTACAGTGGTACCTCTGAATGTGAACGGGATCTGTTCCAGAGCCCCATTTGCATCCAGAAGCGAACGCAACCTGCGTCTGCGCGTGCACAGGTCACAATTCGCCACGCATGCACATGACGTCATTTCTACCACATGTGCGAGTGGCGAAACCCGGAAGTAACACGCTCAGTTACTTCTGGGTCGCCGCAGCGCACAACCCGAAAATACTTATCCCGAAGCTACTTCAACCCGAGGTATGACTGTAAAATGATCAGCTGTTCCCTGATAAAGATCCCTCTGGAAATCACATATACCTGGCTGGACATGTTGCAAATATAATAGCAATACATGGTTTTTATACAGTGAGCCTTTTCCTTAACTTTTCAAAGCATTTCACATATGCAGTCACGAAAATACCCTGTAAGAAAGCCTTGATCTTTTGTGCCCATATTAGCAAGAGCTAGTTGTGACTTGGGGGTGTTAGGGGAGAGTTAGTACCTCTGGTGGGGGACACATCGTGCTTCTGGGGTAGTTAGTCCACCTTGGGTCTGCACCTTGCAGTCAGATCTTACCTGTGGATCCTAGAAGGTGTACAACAGTGGCCACAACACGGGAACAGTTTCAACTGGTTGGCCAAACCAGGTGAGGGTAGCCGATGGGTCTCAAACCCTCAATGAGTTACAAGCTTCCTCTGCATGCAAAGACAGGCTCCGACATTGAACAGACATGGCCAATAGTGGGTCCAACAGTCAAGAAGGTGGTTTCTGCACATGGTGTAGAGGGAAATGAGGGGCAGATGGGGCTCATCAACCTGGGAAGGTAGCCCTTCTTGGAAAAGGAAAACGCTGGTCCTAAACTTCTGCTACCTTGTGGTATATCTTCAGGAGAAGGAAAGACTTGTTGTTGTTTAGTCGTTTAGTTGTGTCCGACTCTTCGCGACCCCATGGACCAGAGCACGGCAGGCACTCCTGTCTTCCACTGCCTTCCACAGTTTGGTCAAACTCATGCTGGTAGCTTCGAGAACACTGTCCAACCATCTCGTCCTCTGTCGTCCCCTTCTCCTTGTGCCCTCCATCTTTCCCAACATCAAGGTCTTTTCATGGAGTCTTCTCTTCTCATGAGGTGGCCAAAGTATTGGAATCTCAGCTTCAGGATCTGTCCTTCCAGTGAGCACTCAGGGCTGATTTCCTTAAGAATGGAGAGGTCTGCATTCCATGGGACTCTCGAGAGTCTCCTCCAACACCATAATTCAAAAGCATCAATTCTTCGGCGATCAGCCTTCTTGATGGTCCAGCTCTCACTTCCATACATCACTACTGGGAAAACCATAGCTTTAACTATACGGACCTTTTTTGGCAAGGTGATGTCTCTGCTTTTTAAGATGCTGTGTAGCTTTGTCATTGCTGAAGGAAAGACTACACAGATCCAGAATGGAGTCCCTAAGATGGTTGGATAGTGTCTTCTTTGTATACCTCCTTGT